CTTGGTGTCCCCTCAAGGTGGACAACAGTCACATCAGCCCAGGGGGCTGGGGACCCCCGGCCCAGCCCCAGGAACAGCCCTGGGGGGGCTCTGGAGGGGGGTGCAGGGCTGCTGGTCCGGAGCTGGAGACCCCGGGCTGCACGTCACATGATTTCACAGCAGGAATTCTGCTTTCGGGCCTGGCAAGAGAAGGAAAAGCATCTGTGAACCCCCCCGGGGCTCTGGGAGTCCCACACAGCCCCTCCTGCCAGGGCAGGACAGAGCACAGGGGCACATGGCCAGAGCTGGTGCCAGGAGCTGGGCAGGGTGCAGGACACCCCCGGGAGGGGCTGGGGGCCCTGGGGCTGGGGGCTCTGCAGCTGCAATTGGGGCTGGGGGCTCTGGGGCTGGGGCACCCAGGCTCCCCCCAGGCCCAGAGCCTGCAGCACCAGGGGGGAATGAATCCCTGTCTTGCCCCCCGAGCTGTGTCCCCCAAGGATGACCCCCACCCTCCCAGCCCCCTTGGGGAGGGGTCTCCCTCCACACCCACCGTTTTGTAGAAGGCTTTGGACTGTGCCCCCAGCACCTCCGACTTGGAGACCAGGTCGTCCAGCTTCTCACCACGCTCCAGCAGGGACTCCATGGTGTTGTGCTGCCAGGGAAAGGAGTGCTGAGCCCCAGACCCCCCTGCAGCACCAGGGGGGGTCACAGCACCCCCACCCATCCTCCCAGAGACCCCCGGCCCTGCAGCCCCAGGGGAGATGGGACAGAGAGGAGGTGAGATGGGCATGAGGAGCAGGGGGCAGAGTCTGTGTCCTGCCAGCGGGGAAAAGCCCCAGGAGGAAAAGGGGGGAAGGCAAAAGGAAAAGAGCAAAGGGAGCTCCTGCCCCAGGGAGGTGTGTGGGGATGGCTGGGGGACCCCACCGTGCCCCAAAGGTGCCCCAGGCCCGTGCAGGCAGCAGCCCCAGCCCTGCAGCCTCACCAGGATGATTTTGGTCTCGTCCAGCTCAGCCTGCACTCGGGTCATGGGGTCAGCATCACGGGGGTTCTGTGGACAAACAGCAGCGTGAGGGTGCTGGTGCTGGGGCTGGCACCACCACAGGGACTCCAGGGCGGTCCCAGCAGGTGCCAGAGCTGCCCACACACCTGCCCTGCCATTTCCAGGGAGCCCTCTGTACCTGGTATTTGCTGAGGTATCCATCCAAGGCAGAGTAGCTGATGGTGGCAGGTGACCCTGAGGGCCAGTCCATCTTGCTGACCTCCCTGGAGAACTCCTCCAGCACCTGCCAGGTGAAGAAGCAGCAGTGAGGGGCCACAGCTCCAGGGCCACAGTGGCTGGAAGGGTTTTGTTGATCAAAACAGGAGAACTGGAGATTTTTGGGAAGGGACCTCACAGTCATCCATGGCCCTGCCATGGCAGGAACACCTCCCACCAGACCAGGCTGCTCCAAGCCCTGCCCCAACTGGCCTTGAACACTTCAGAGATGGGGCTGGAGTGTGTCCAGAGACAGGGACAGAGCTGGGGAAGGAGATGTGAACAGTCTTGGCCAATGATGCCCAGGCTGAGGTGGCCAGCCCCGGTTGCCCAAAAGGTGTGCCAGGGCAGGGGGGCTGGAGGAGCCCTCACCTTGTCCAGCAAGGTGAAGCAAACCCTCTGGGGATACTCATTGTCTGCAATCACCACTCCAGCCAGCCCGTCGCTCCTCACGTACACGTGGCACAGGTACTCTGCCAAGGAAACTCCTGTCAGGGAGGGAGCAGCGCCCCCCGGCTCTGGTGCAGCTCCCACCAGTGCTGCCCCCTCCCCAGGCTCTGTTTTGGGGTGCATTTCCCCGGGGTGGGCCAGGGGCTGCTCTCACCTTGCTCCTTGACAGAGGCCCTGCTGCCCAGCGCCGAGCGCTCCGCGATCAGCTGGCTCGTGAAGGTCATGAACTCCTGCACGCTGTGGGGACAGGCAGGGCTGGGGACAGGCTGGGGACACCCTGGGGACACTGCTGGGGACACACTGGGGACACAGCAGTGCCACAGCCCCTTGCTGTGCTGGGTATCAAACCCTGCCCCTGCCCCCTGAGCAGTGCCAACCCCCAAGGGCACCCCCAGGCTCAGGGACAGCCTCTGTCCTGGGCTGAACCTGTTTCTGGGGGATTTAGAGAGCAAAGCCACCACTGAACCTGGCCCTGCCTGGCCAGCACCTGCTGAGCAGCTGCATCGTGGAATGATTTGGGTTGGAGGGGGTGGATTATTTGGGTTGGTTGGAATTATTTGGGTTGGATGGAATTATTTGGGTTTGAGCCCCCAGGCACGCTGTGAGTCAAAGCTCAGGAACAGCCCCAAGCCAGGCTTGCTCTAATTTGGAGCACATTCCTGAGCCCAGGCCCAGGCCTGTCCAGCAGGCCCCTCAGTGAGCCCTCAGCAGCCCACAGCAAGGAAAGGAGGCCAGAATTAATGAGCAGGAGCCAAATGAAGCTGTTTGCAGGACAGCCTGTCCTGGCAGGCTGGGATGAGCCAGGGTGAGCCAGCACAGTGCCCAGTCCAGCTGGGAAACGCCAGGAAGGGACTATTACCAGGGATGGGGCACAGAGCTCACCAGGAGTGGGACAGCTCCTGCTTGGAGGTGCCAGGGAAATGTTACTGGGCACAGACTGGTGGGGCTGACTGGTTCTCTGACACCCCCCCACTGCTGGGAGCGGCTCCAGAGGGGAAATGGCCTCCCAGTTTGCATCCCTGAGGGGTCTGCACTGCTCCCAGCCTGGATACCAGCTCCACAGAGACCCTGCAGTGCAGGGAAAGGCCAGCCCGAGGATTCCTGAACATCCTGAGCATCCTGATCCAGCCCAGGGATCCCTGAACATCCCTGCTCCATCCGAGGGGGAGCACAGACTCCTCTCCCCACGAGGAGGGTCCTGCTGCCAGCCCCAGCCCCCGTGACCCCAGGGTTTCACACACACCATGGAGAAACCCTCCAGGAGCACCGAGTGCAGCCAGGAGCCAGCTGGATGCCCAGGGCTGATTTCCACTGGGAATCCTGGGTTTATTCCCAGTGCTCCAGAAGGAAGTGGGCAATCTGTGCCTCCCTCTGACCCTGCCCAGCTCCTTGGCAGGAGCTCCTGCCCAGCAGGTTCCACAGCCCTGCTCACCCCACATCCAGCTCTCCAAAGCCCAGATAAACACACCTGAGCCATCACACCTGGGCCAAGCACCAAACCCTGGGAGCAGCTGGCAGGCACAGACCCCCTCCCCAAAACCCCAGAGGTTCCCTGGGCACAGACACAGCCTGCTGGGGAGACCCCACATGGAATTTCTGGGGATTTGGGAAAGAAGAGCTGCAGTTGTGTTGGGACTGAGCTGGCACTGCAGCACATCTGGCTAAGGAAGAGCTTTTTCAGACAGTCCTGCTTCACCTTTCCCCTTTTCCCCGGCAGTCACAGAACCCAGTGTGCCTGTGGCTCCACAAAACCCTGGCATGGAGACTTTGGGTCCCTGAGGGATTTCCCAACTGCTCTGTGTGTTCTACAGCATGTTCCTGCTCTGTCCCACAGCTCCAGGGGGTGCTCAGGGGCTGCTGCAGCCCCCTGACCCCCATGAGCCCCCTCCCAGGGCACTCCTTGAGCCCCGACTTCATCCCGGGCTGCCCTGGGGATCTGGGGGGTCAGAGTTCTGGGGCATTTTCCCCAGGAAAACCCTCTCCCTGCTGCCACTGCAGCCTCAGTGGGGCAGAAACCCCCAGAGCTGCTGCCCCCCTGCCCGAGGTGCTCCCGAGGTAGCCCCCGGCAGCAGCAGCCCCCCAGGCCGAGCTGCCCAGCCCACCTGGACCTCTGGAAGAAGTTGAAGGTGGACACGTCATAGGCAGCTTTGAGCAAGTGCACTTTGGGGTCACCTTTGTAAAGGACACTTAGGCTGTAGAGCCTCATGGCGGCAGCTTGGGCGCCTGGGGGGAGAGCAGGGGCTGGGCTGGGGTCCTGAGGGGGCCAGGGCTCCCCCAGACCCTCCTGAAACCCCTCCTGCCAGCCCAGGCAGCTGAGCCCCCCACCCCCGGAGCCCCCCCTGGCTCCTCGCCTTGACCCCTGCCCAGCCCAGCCCAGTTCTCACCTGGCCTAGTATAACCCAGCACACAACCCAGTATAACCCAGCAAAACCCACCCCAGTATAACCCAGTATAACCCAGTATAGCCCAGCCCAGCATAGCCCAGCACCCAGCCCGGTACAACCCAGTAAAACCCACCCCAGCATAACCCAGTATACCCCATTAAATCCCACCCTAGTATGACCCAGTACAGCCCAGAATAACCCAGTACAGCCCAGTAAAACCGACCCCAGTATAACCCAGAATAACCCAGTACAGCCGAGCCCAGTGTAACCCAGCACCCAGCCCAGCACAGCCCAGTATAACCCAGTACAACTCACCCCACTATAACCTCCCCCTACACCCCAGCCCCTCCACNCTCCCCAGGGGAGCCTTCTCGGTCGTCCGGCGCTGCGTCAAGCTCTGCACTGGCCATGAGTACGCTGCCAAGATCATCAACACCAAAAAGCTCTCTGCCAGAGGTAGGACCCCAGGAAGCTGGCACTGCCAGCACCCCTCTGCCCCCCCGGGGGACTCCCAGACAGGCCAGGTCCCTGAGACAGCCCCACGGCACCTGTGACACCCCTGGTACCCCTGGTGGCCATGGGACCTCTGATACCCCTGGTGCCCATGGCACCTGTAACATCTTTGATACCCCTGGGGCCTGGGATAGCCCCATGGCACCTGTGACACCTGTGACACCTCTGATACCCCTGGTGGCCATGGCACCTGTGACACCCCTGATACCCCTGGTGGCTGGGATAGCCCCATGGCACCTGTGACACCTCTGACACCTCTGGTGCCATGGCACCTGTGACCCCTCTGCCACCCCGGGGGGACTCCCAGACAGGCCAGGTGCCTGGGACAGCCCCATGGCACCTGTGACACCTCTGATACCCCTGGTGCCAGGACAGCCGGGCTGCCTGTGGTGCCCATGGCAGGTGTGACAGCTGTGACCCCAGTGGTGCTGGTGGGAGGGAGGGGTGAATGCTCTGGGGTGGGGTCTGGCCCTGTCCATCCCCGTTATCCCCCTGCTGCCTCCCCCGAGGCCCCTCAGAACCTCACCTGTCCTTAAGGTATGGGTGCCCTGCAGGTACACAGGTGTAAGTGGATGGGGAGGAGGGTGTGCACGCACAGGTGTGAGCCCTGTGTGTGTGCAGGTGTGAGCTGTGTGTGTGATGGTGGGTGTGCACAATGAGCAGTGGGGGTACCTGAGTGTGTGTGCACAGGTGTGTGTGCTTGGGGTGGGTGTGCACACATGGGCAGTGGGAGGTACCTAAGTGTGTGTGCACAGGTGTGTCTGCATGGGGGCGTGTGTGATGGTGGGTGTGCATAATGAGCAGGGGGGGTACCTGAGTGTGTGTGCTTGGTGTGCAGGTGGGTGTGCACATGTCAACAGTGTGTGTGTGCTTGCACACGAGGGTGGGCACAGCTGTGTGTGCACAGCTGTGAGCAGAGTGGGTGCCTGTGGGGTGGGGTGTGCTCACAGCTCGGCAGTGGGGGTGTGCAGGTGTGTGCAGGTGTGTGCAGGTGTGGGATGTGTGACAGCGTGTGGGGGTGTGGAGGTTTAGGGTGTGCACTTGGATAAGAGGCAGCACAGAGTGGCACAGGGGGCGTGTGAGTGTTCTGTGTGTGCACATGTGTGTGTCTGGCTGGAGCTGTGTGCTCAGGTGTGAGCAGTGCACACACACACGTGTGTGAGCTGTGTGCACATCTGTGCGCATGTCTGTGTGCCCTTGAATGCAGACACACCCAGAAGTGCAGCTGCACACACAGGTACACATGTGCACTCATACAGTGGCTGTTGCAGGCACACACATGGAGAGTTGCACACACACACAGCTGCACAGATGTGCACACACCTGCACACACCTGCACATGCAGGAACCACCAGCTGCACACTCCACATCCCATACAAACACAGGTACAGTGATGCACATGGTGCAGCCACACACACACACATGTATACCTGTGCACACAGGTACAGCCACAGAGCTGGCTGGTGGCACACAGAGGTGCACAGAGGTACAGCCACACACAGGCACACTCACGTGTGTGCACAATTGCAGGGTAGGGATACCCACCACACCTGCACACCCACACACAGGTACAGGCACACACAGGTACAGCCACAGGTGCTTGCATACATGTGCCCTCCCATCTGTACCTGTGTAACGGCATGCACAGGGGCCCACACGTGAACGTGCACACCTGTGCACACCTGCAGCGTGTGCATGCCTGTATCCACATGCACACTCCACCCATACCTGCAAACCTGTACACGCCTGCACACGTGCACACCCCACCCATACCTGTACACGCCTGCACACGTGCACACCCAGGCACGCGTGCACACCCACAGAGCCACGTGGCTCCCTCAGGTGCATCTTGGGCTGCTCTCACTGGGGTTGGGCTGGGGACAGGTGAGGTGAGGGGGATGCAGGGCAGGTGAAGGAGTGCAGGGCAGGTGAGGGGGTGCAGGGCAGGTGAGGGGGATGCAGGGCAGGAGAGGGGATGCAGGGCAGGGGAGGGGTGCAGGGCCGGGGACGTGCCCTCCTGACCTGTGCCCCCCCAGATCACCAGAAGCTGGAGCGCGAGGCGCGGATCTGCCGGCTGCTCAAGCACTCCAACATCGGTGAGTGACCGGGGACAGGGGGTAGCACCCCTGGGGACACCCCGAGGGACGCCGGCAGTGGCTGAGAGAGGGGACCCGGGCTCGGTGGCGCCTGAGGCTGAGCCTGTCCCCATCTGGTCCCCACAGTGCGGCTCCACGACAGCATCTCCGAGGAGGGCTTCCATTACCTCGTCTTTGACCTGTGAGTGCAGCAGGAGGCTCCCAGAGCTCCGGGAGGGCTCGGGGGATGCCGGGGGCCCTCGGGCTTATGTGGGGCCCTCGGGCTCATGTGAGGCCCGGCTGTGTTCCAGGGTGACGGGCGGCGAGCTCTTTGAGGACATCGTGGCACGGGAGTACTACAGTGAGGCCGATGCCAGGTGAGCCCTCGCCCCCGCCCAGCCCTATGCCCTGTGCCCTGTGCCCCTGNGTGAGAGCCGCAGCCAGGACACCCTCAAGATCACCGTCGGCGTCGACGGCTCCGTCTACAAGCTCCATCCCAGGTGGGGACCCTGGCGACGCCCCCGTCCCTCCCTTCATCCCCCAAGCCCTGACCCCACCAGTGACCCCACATTCACCTCCCCAGCTTCAAGGACCACTTCCACGCCACGGTGCGGCAGCTGACGCCCGGCTGCGACATCACCTTCATCCAGTCTGAGGAAGGCAGCGGGCGCGGGGCCGCCCTCATCTCGGCCGTGGCCTGCAAGATGGCCTGCATGATGGGGCAGTGAGCTGGACTCGGGGGGACGGCGGGGCCGGCGCTCCTCTGGGAGCTGACACGGACGCGGGGAGGAGGCGGCTCCGGCCCCCAATAAACGGGGTGTGTGTGGACTTCTCTGGGGCCGCTCTGGCCAGTGCTGCTCTCTCTCCGTGCTGGCAGAGAGACCCCCATGGGGCTGCCCCACATCTATGGGGTGGCCACGGAGCTTCCCGTGCCCTCACCTCCCTCCCCCATCCTCACACAGCCACAGCAAGGAGGGCTCCAGCGCATCCCAGCCCCTTTTCTGGGAGAAAGCCCCCCCAGGGGGGTGGCCTAGAGATGAGGGGCTCTCTGGGGGTACTTTGGGGGGGATGTCAGGCTAGAGGAGCTCCCCACCAGTGATCCCTTGGGTGCAGAGGGTGACCGGAGTGCACCAGCAATGGGCCAGATGGAGGAGGTCAAACAGAAGAGATTCCCTGCACTCCAATTGGCTGGAATTAAAGAAAAAGAACCGGGTGTGGGATTCCCTGTGCTCTGATTGCCTGGGGCTGAAGCAGGGATGCCCCGTGCTCAGCTGACACAGCGAGGAGGATCCCAAGCCCATGGCAGCGCCGGTGACAAGCGGGTGACAAATGACAGTGGCGAGTGCAGGGACAGATGTAGTGCCAGGCATGGGGTGCGCAGGGAGGGGACAGTGACAGCCAGCACCACACAGGTGTGTGAAGCCACAGGGGACACACCCCACCCTACTGCTGGCACCTCCGGTGTCACCTTGGCCCTGCTGAGGGCAGGCTGTCCCCTGCCAGTGCCTGGTGCCATTCACCCTTGTCACCATGTCCCCCCAGGGCAGACAAACGAGACCCTGGAGCCAGAGGAGGGAGTTTATTGTGGCGAGGAGGATGGCTGGGCTGTGGGGCCATCGGGGCTGGAGGGGCGTCGGGTTTGGGGGCACTCGGGGCCGTGCCTGTGGAGAAAGGAAAGGGCAGGGGGAGTCAGGGGCCAGTGGAAGCAGCTCCTCCAGCCCTCCCCCTGCTCCACAGCGCACTGGGGGTGGCCTGGCTCACCCCCGCCCTACAGAGTGCAGCACGGAAGGTTCTGAAACACTCCCACCCTTCCAGCAGGTGTGGGGTGAGGGATGCGGGATGCAAAGTGTGGGATGCAGAGGGGGGATATGGGATCAGGATGTGGGGTGCAGGATGCAGGGCTCAGAACACAGTGCGGGACTGGGACATGACGTGCAGGATCAGGATATGGGTGCAGGATGTGGTTCAGGACCAGGTTACAGGGTGCAGGGCGCAGTGCAGGGCAGGGGTGTGGGATTGCCATGCAGGGAACAGTACACGGTGCAGGATGTAGGATGGGGATGTGGGGTGCAGGATCCGCCTGTGCCCGTGGGGTGCAGGTGGGCACTGACCGTGCTCAGGAGCGGCAGAGGCCGATGGCAGTGCAGATGTCCTTGGGCATGTCCCCGTTCTGCAGCCCCTCGCTGATCTGCTCCTGGTACTTGCTCACCAGCTGCTGGCACTGCTTGCCCAGCCTCCGGCCCAGCGCCCGGCAGCCCTTCTGCAGCGCTGCCTGCACCGCCGACTGCCAAAGCCACCACAGGTCAGGGGGACACAGGGACAGGGCCCCAGCCCGCCCCCCCAGCCCCTCATCACCCCTCACCTCGTCGGGGTCGTCACCTGCCAGATCCTGGAACTTCTTCAGGACCTTGGTGCACAGGCTGCACTTCATCTTCTTGCCTTCTGCCACACTGTCCCCGTCAGCCACGCCGTCTCCGTCAGCCACGTCCCCCTGTGGGGACACACAGACCCTCAGGGCTGCCTGCACCCCCGGGTGGCCCTGGCAGTGCTTGGGGCTGGGGTCTCACCAGGACCAGGCTGTCCCAGAGGTGCTGGCACTGCTGCTCCCAGCCACAGCGCTTGGCCGTGGCCGTGTCCCTGCACCAGGAGATGGGGTCACCCTGGCAGGGCAGGGGGTCCGCGGCCTGAGCTGCTGCAGGGGGACAGGACGGTGAGCGAGGCTGCAGGGTGGGTGCCCATCAGACCCCTAAACCACCAGCCCCAGGTACTCAGCCCCATCCCCACCATCCTGCCTGCCTGTTCCCACTGTCCCCAAGTGCCAGTGTCAGCATGGGCACCATGCCCATCATCCCTGGGTCCTCAGGCAGACCCCATCCCTGCCACCCCCAGCTGTTTGTTCCCATCAGACCCCATCATCCCTCCTGCCTGTCCCCCTGTCCTCCTCTCCACACCCCTGAGTGCCTGCCCCTGCACAGACCCCATCCCTGGCACACACAGACCCTCCCTGCACAGACCCCATCCCCATCACACACAGACCCTCCCCACACCCCTGAGTGCCTGCCCCTGCACAGACCCCTGGCACACACAGCTCCCCACACAGACCCCAGCCCCCCAGCTCAGTCACACAGGCTGCCATCCCCGTTGTCCCCATGTGTCCTGTCCCCTCCTCTCGGGGTGCCTGTCCCCCCGGGGAGGCAGGAGGGTCCCGGTACCTCCCAGCAGCAGCAGCAGGACGAGGGTGGCAGCCATGGTGAGCCCGCCGAGCCGGTGACAGCAGGTGACACTGCCTGGCCGTGGTGACTGCCTGCGTGCTGACCCCTTTTATAGCGGGGCCACGGGCTGTGGGGGTGGGGGACCGAAACCCCAAAACCCCAAACCCCAAAACCCCTTAAACCCGTGCACAGCTGCTCCCAGAGCCCTTCCTGCCTCACAGCTCCACCCCCGCGGGAAGGGCTTCGGGGGAAAACGGGGAGCTCGGCACCCCCAGCCTCACCCGGGGGGGACACCGGGNGGAGGGGACACGCTGGTGCCGTCCCCAGGTGCGCACTGGTGCCATCTCCAGATGCACACAGGTTGCATCCCCGGGTGCACACAGGTGCCATCCCCAGGTACCCACGGGTGCCATCCCCAGGTGGTGCCATCCCCAGGTGCACCTGGTGCCATCCCCAGTCCACACTGGGTCAACACAGGGAGCTGGGGTGGGGGAATGATTTTGGGGATGATTTTGGGATGATTTTGAGCCTCCCCACTGCTCCCACCCCCCCATGCACACAGGGGGGGCACACGGTGCATGAAGGGGGGGGCAAACAGGCTGCATGTCCTGTGTCCCCCTGTGCCCCCGCTGTGTCCCCACCCCGCATGTGTCCCCTTGCATGTGTCCCCCCCTGCATGTCCCCCCCTGCATGTGCCTCCCCACGGCTTCTGAGAGCTGCAGCCAGTGTTTGTGGTGCTGTGAAACACTCGGCGGGTCTTAAACCACCCCCTCACGCAGGGCTGCCCCTGGCCCCCCTGCCAGGGGTCCCCCCTCCCACCCCCCAATTCGGCTCTGGTTTAAACCCCCACCTCTCAGCGCCCGCCTGCTTTCAGAGGAGGGACCGGGACCCTTGGGGACACCCTGCTAGGGCCCCTGGGGGACACAGGGCCAGGGGAGGGATGTGTGGGTCATGTCCCCCTCCTCTGGTGCCGATGGGCGCCGCCCTGCCGTCACTGGGCTTGTCACCACACATCTCCCCCCAGCGTGTGCTGCCAGCCAGGGGAGGGGTCCCTCAGTGTGGAGGGATAACAAGGATGCTCGAGGTGACGCCCCCTGCCCTCCACACACCCCCACAAGCACTTGTGCCCCACCACGTCCCCATCACCCCTGTTCCCCTCTGGCCAGAGGTCGTGGTAGCAGTGACAGATGCTCGTACCCGTGCCCGTCCTTGTCCCCCTCCAGGGAGACAGGGGGGCACAGGCGGCTGTCCCCGCCCCCTGTACTCAACTCATCTTTTTTATGTTCTTTTTTTATGTTTTTCCCCTTTTCCTCCTTTCCCCCCTCCCCGTTTCTCTCTTGTCCCCCTCCCCACTCCTCTCTCTCGCTTTCCTCTCTGCATTTCTCCAAGGTAAGCCAGCCCTGCCCCCCCACGCGGGGGCCACCAGGATGGGGACCCCCCTCAGGTTGGGGGCACCTCCTCCCCCCAGTGTGAGGACCCCCTGAGTTTGGGGACCCTTCCCTCCAGGATGGGGACACCCTGCCTGGATGAGGATCCCCACAGGTTGAGGACATCCCTCCCAGGGTGGGGACAGCCCCCCAAGTTCGGGGACCCCCCTGAGTTTGGGAACCTCCCACTAGGAGGGGGACACCCCCCAGGATGAGAATGGTCCCACAAGGTTGGGGAGCCCCTCCCTGGGTGGGGACCTTCCTGAGGCTGGGGACTCCTCCAGGTGGGGGACACCCCTCCCAGCATGGAGAACCCCCCAAAACGGGGATTCCCTAGGATGGGGACACCCCACCCAGCATGGGGACTCTCCCTTGTAAGGGAACACCCCCAGCATGGGGACACCCCTCAAAGCGGAGCCCCCTTAGAATGGGGACACCCCTCCCTGCATGGGGACCACCCCTCTAAAATGGGGACCTCCCCCAGGCTGGGGACAGCACCGTGCTGGCGTGTTCCCCTCTGTGGCACGGGGGTTGGTGCTGCCAGCACTCGGGGTGGGATCAGGCGGGGTGGCNCCCTCACAGGGAGGTGCCCCCCCAGTGCCCCCGCTCCCACAGCCAGCGGGGCCCCTCTTCACCCCCATTTCAGGCTCTCATCCCCTCGCTCCTTCCCTCTTTCTTTCTTGTCTCGTCTCCATCCGCCGCCCTATCCCCTGTTCCCCCCTCCCCGTCAGTCCTGTCTGGGGGACCCCCGTGTCTGGGCGGCAGCAGGGACGGGGGGCTCCCATGGGGGACGGGGGGGACACAGAAACACCACTGGGGTGGCCCCCGTGGCTCTGTGCCCAGGGTGGAGCTCACCTGGTGGGCACTGAGGGGTGACCCCAGGCAGTGACCCCCAGGGGATGATCCCACAGGTGTGACCCCACTCAGTGACACCCTTGGAGTGACATCCCTGGGATGACACCCCAGGGGTGACCCCAAGGGATGACTTCCCGACAGGGATGTGCCCCCGGGAAGGAGTGACACGCTCAGGGACGACCCCTCCTCAGGCTGTGACGTCCCCACAGGTGTCCCCTAGGCACCGAGCCACCCCAGGTGGGGCTGTCCCCAGGGTAACCCCTCTGTGTGACCCCCCAGGGGTGATGCCCCCGGGCTGAGCCCCTGGCAGGGGTACAGAGAGGTTCTCATGCACACAAATCCAAGGTCACCACTGGTTTTTGTCAGTTCCCCCGGGTGCAGAGGGACAGGGGCTGCTTTGGGGGTGCAGGTGGTGCGCAGGGTGTGAGGCAGGTGGGGGGCAGCGTGCCTCTGACCCCCTCCCATTTGCACGCAGCCACTGCATCCAGCAGATCCTGGAGGCTGTCCTGCACTGTCACCAGATGGGGGTGGTCCACAGGGACCTCAAGGTAAGTGTGTCCCCCACCCCCATCCATCCCCCTGCCCAGTTCCTGGGGTCCCCACAACCCGGGGGTGCCCTGGCCTGGTGGGTTCTGGGGGCTCACTGGGATCTTGCTGGGCTTTGGGGATCCCCTCAGCTTTGGGGATCCTCATCCACCTTTCCTGGGGGTGCACACGTGTCCCCCAGCTGTGTCACAGTTCTGCACTGCTGGGAGGTCTCACTGCAGCCCCCAGCTGCCATTGCCCCAGGGAGAGTGTGAGCTGTGGGGATAGAAATGGATGGGGGCATGGGAGGGGGAGCAGCTGGAGCTTGGCTGGGGGACAGGGCAGGACACGGGAGGGTGATGGTGGGACACAGGGGGACAGAGGGACACAGAGGAATGGTGGGACACAGGGGGACAGAGGGACACAGAGGAATGGTGGGACACAGGGGGATGGTGGGACACAGGGGGACAGAGGGACATACAGGGATGCTGGCATGGGGGGATGCTGGGCTGAGGCCAGTGAGACACAGGCGGACCCTGAGCTGGCCATGGGGCTGTGCCATGCGGTGCCATTGGCAGAGGGTACCCACGGTCACAGCCTCACAGCATAGAGCCAGCTGAGGGCAGGACCTGGGCAAGGGCAGCAATAAAGTCCCTCTATGGTTGCTGCATCCCTGCTCTCTGTCCCCCCCGGCTGTGCCCCGTGCTGGTGCTCCCTGTGCAGCCCGAGAACCTGCTCCTGGCCAGCAAGTGCAAAGGGGCAGCAGTGAAGCTAGCAGACTTCGGCCTCGCCATCGAGGTGCAGGGGGATCAGCAGGCCTGGTTTGGTGAGTGCTGGTGTCCCCCTGTCCCCCACAGCCCCTGCCCACCACTCTGGGCACCTGTGCTGTGTCTGCTGGGTCCCTGCACATCCCCTGAGTCCCTGCTCTGTTCCTGCTGTCCCT